GTTTCAGGGGGTGTTCTCTTCGCTTGGCCTGGATCTGGCTCCCACCTCCAATTCCCAGAGCCCAGCGGTCCAGCCAGCTGGCTTGCCTACCTCTAGCCGAGTCCTGTCCACTCCTGGAGGAAGTTTTATCCTGCCTCGGTTCGTCACCATCAGCATCTCGTACGGGTAGATCTTGAGAAGATGGAAAGAGAACAACGGATCCGTCAGGGGCCACAGGCGAGGACCAGGAGAGGATTTCTGGGGTGTGTCGGGGGGGGGAAGCACTGTGCCACCACTCCCTCCAGCAGCCGAACATCCCCCTCCCTCTCTCCCCCCATTGTCCCAGTTTGTGTGCTCACCTTCTGCTCCAGCATACTGGGGAGGGAGTTCCCTCTGTCCATACGCCCTCGCTGGCCGTTCTGCAAAGAGGAAAAGTGCCCCCCGCCACACACACACACAACAGGCAACGTGAGGACATGGCTTCCTTCCCCAGCTGGCCCGACTCCCTTCCACCCCACAGGACTCAAACCAGGGAGGGAGGGGACTTAGCCCAGCTCCCTCCCACCACCACATGTCTCTCTTTCCCCTTGCTCTCCCCCCCACTGCCCCACTCTCCCTGCCGGCCGTGGTGCCAGCCCCGGTGGCTCTGTTGTGCCTGCCGCTGGAGGCTCCCTCACCTGCAGGCCTGCAAGAGAGAAAGGGAAAGGGTGGCTGAGGCGGATCCTCTCTCGGGGCCAGGACAGGAGGGTGGGGGGCAGGCGCTCTGAGGAACCCCAAGGGCTCTCTTAAGGCAGCCCCAGAGCACAGGCGCAAGTGCAGCTGCTCCACCACCACCACCACCCCCCACACAGAAAAAACCAGCCTTGCCCGCAGGGCTTGGGGCTTCCTCTGACCTGGGCTGCCTTTTTCACTCCCCGCAGGGCTGAACTCTGTCGACTGCAGCTGCAGAAGGGAGAGAGAAAGGGAGAGAGGCCCAGTTGCCCGGGGGCTGGGGGGGGCTTTTATTGGGCCTCCGTCCAGGTTTCTGGCTCGTGGATGGAGACTGAGGCCAGTTGGGTGACTGGGAAGTTTGAGCCGTCAGCACTGGCTGCTCTCAGCGTGGTTGGCTCCCACCCCTGGGTGAGGGGTCTCATTGGGAGGGAGGGGAAGAGCCCCCATAGCTGTGGAAAAGTGCCCAGTTTTCCTGGCAGCCTTCCGGAAGGGCAGCATCACCAGAGCAACCCAAGCAAGGAGCAGCATTATCGGGCGGTGGGGGCTTTCTCCTGCCCCCCTCCCCTCTACAGGCAAAGGCAAAAGCCCTTCCGGAAACCAAGCTCTGGGCCAGAGAGAAGGGCATCTTCTTTGCTCACAGGCACTTCGGCTCAGACACACACACACCCCAGCGCCCCCCCCCAGACCCACCCCCGGCTGCCCTCTTACCCTGGTGAGCGGACTCCTCCCATAGGCTGGAAGGGAAGCTGACTTGGAGCTCCCGACGACGGGCAAAGCTAGGAAAAAACAGCCACCGATCAATGGTGGACGGAGGGAAACCGCGCTGGGAAGGGGTTGCGATCCACGGAAGTCCTTTCCCAAGTCAAGGGGCAGAATGCAGGGCCAGGCGCGCGGAGGGATTGGGCCCCAAGAGGCTGAAATCTCTCTCATTGGTTTGTTCATTCGTCTCTTCGTTTGCTTGTTTGTTGTATTTATTTAACTTCTATCTAGCTTTTCTCTCAGTGCCGGGAACCAAGTCCTGGGGGGTGCGGTGGGGGGCTGGGAGAGGAGTGAGCCCTAGAGGCAAGAGGGCCCCCCTTGGCCTGATCCTCATCTCCCTGCCGCCCTCCTCCCCGGCGGGGCTGGAGGGGACCCCTTCTGCACCTCTGCTTCCTGAGCGGAAGAAGAGCGAGGGATCGTGGTGCAGCTCTGGGGCTCCTGTGCCCGACTCTTTGCGAAGGAAGGCAGAGAGGGGAGGGGGGTGGCCTTGTGCTGCCCTTTCTAGTCACCGGTGTGTGTGTGTGTGTGTGGGGGGATCGGGGCCAGGGTCTGATGTGGACCAGCTGCCCAGGAGTTCCCCTATGGAAAGCAAGGCCCTCCCATTCACCCCTTCCCTCCACTCTCCCTCCCGCCATCCCCAATGTTTATACAGCAGGACCCCCATGTATCCACTGGGGGTGGGTTCCACACCCCTCTGTGGGTACTGGAAACAAAGGATAACAGTGAGCTTTCTATATATAGTAGGGAGAAAGGAGGGGGGAAAACATGCATTATATGTGCATGACCAGAATTGGCCAGGAGATCATGCTATGTGTTCTTCACTAGCAAGTATTCATAGCAAGGTCTCTGGCTGCCTCTAGTGGTGGATTCTAGAAATACATGTGAAAATAATTTTTCTGGAATTTTTTTTTCTTTTAATACGGTATTTTAATATT